AATTTTTTCATTTGTACAGGGGAGGTTGACAGCCTCTCACATGAGCGTGGCCCCGAGTGAATTAAAATTTCAACAAAAAAAAAGTGGATGATCCTCTTCAATTAAGTGGATTTTTGTTTGTTTAACTATTTATAATGCATCTTTGTAATGATATATTTTGTAATCACTAAAGCTGTGTTTGATAGGCCACATTTTCTAAGGAAGTAGGAAAATATTTTTCACTTTTTTGGTTGTTTGATAGACGAAATTTTCTACGGAAAATATTTTCCAGATTTTCCCCACACGTGTGCAATTTCCGGATTTTTGATGAAAATGTTTTCTCGCCTTTTTGGTGGGAAAATATTTTCCCGACTGGCTGTAATTTTTTTTTTTTTTTGGCAATGGAAACAAAAGTCATAACTAATGGTAAAAAAAATTTCACTTTAATTGACAATTTTCATGTAAAATAAAGTCAAACGAACACTAAACTTTGATCAAAAAATGATTTTTTAGGAAACAATTTTTTTTCCTTTTTTTTACTTTTTGGCAATGGAAACAAATTTTATAACAAATTGTGAAAAAAAATATCACTTTAATGGACAATTTCCATGTAAAACAAAGTCAAACGATTAGAAAATTTAAAAATTTTTCGGGTGGAAAATTATACCAATCAAATATACTTGATATCATTTTCCCTGCAAAAAATTTTTCAGGCAATCTTTTCCCTGTAAAATATTTTCTTTCCACCCATTTTTTACCCTTACAATCAAATGTAGTATGTAAAATGTGATAGCACCCTATATAAATAGTGCGCTTTGTAAAATTACCTATTTTTGTCGTGTACTTTCATTGAAAGTTGAAACTATTATTTTTTAAAAAATTCAAAAATATAAATAAATTAACAATATTATATTATGGCTTACAAAACACGTGTTTCCAACTAGTTTTAAATAAAAAGTCCTCACTTTTTCAGTTCTTTGGAGTTTTTCCTTCAAATAATTGACTTTCTTTTCATTTCTGTGATTCTATCCAACATTCTATCACATCAATCCGAAACTTGAAGGCGTGTTAACCATATTAATTCTAATTAGTGTGAAATTTTAGGCACGAGTGAGCATGGATGGTTTAGTTTGAATTCGTTGAGAAGTCATCCAAATCGAGAAATGACTAAAGTACAGAGAAATTCAAGGATGGATATAGGAGGATTGTAGCGAAATTCGGACTGGGATGTAAAATATAATGTCCAACACCTTACCCAACGAATTTCAAATTCAATTAATCATTCATGACATCCCTTTGTAACGAGATTAATTTCGATTGCAGAAGAGAGTTTTCATTCTACAATGAGTAAGTTGCATCATAGATTAAAACAGTAACTACGAGATTAAGGAAGAGATGAACAGAAGAAAGTTTGTGAATTGTTCAATCCAATCTTCTTCCCTATCAGTGTACCAAAAATGTCAAAAACTCGGAAGAACAATGGGATCTAATCAATAACAAACAGCACGAAATAGTAAATAATGCTGTGAGAAGATCAACTCGAATAACATAAAGCACTGTGTTGAATCAAGAAAACAAAAACACCCACCAACCAGGAAGAAAACAAAATTATGAACAATTACATTCAGAACTAAAACAAATCAGCATTCCCTTTTACACCACCATTTTACCAGAAGAAATTCAAGTTAAATTCCTTATTTATCAAGGCTGGTGCAATGCATAACTAGATTAGAAAATCCTTCACAATTAAACCAGTTCTTGTCAGCAAATCCTAAGCCCCTTCAAACTCCAAAGAACTGCAAAATTCAATTCAAACCCAATTCAAAACATTAACTTCTGTGGAAATTGAAAACAAGATTTTACCTTTTTCATCTATGGAGCAGCTTCAGGAACTTTGTACATATCCGTTGTAATTTCCGACAACCACAATCCCGGAAAGAGTGTCTGCAGAAAACCCACGTAAAAGAGAGGTTAAAATCAATGAAACAGTGAAATAAATTACACACTTAGATCAATCAAATAATCAAACATTCTAAATTTCCTGTTTGCATTCTGTAAATGAAATCATGTTTATGATTTATTGAATTTGAATAACTCACATCCAATTCTTTCTGAACATTCTTGGCTCTCTTTTTTGGTCTGCGAGGGGGCTTATGACCGACCATTGCCATGAAGTCCTCTTCGATCTCCCTTCTTAACAGTGGCACCGAAAATTTCGCTATCTCTCTCTTCTCGCCGCTCGGAGATTCCGCCGCTCCGAGTATACCGATCCTCAGCCGCGGCGACTTGTTACCGCATGTAGACGGCGTCCTTATCGGTAAGAGCACCGAACTGGGTTTCATTACATCCACCGTCATTGCCTTAGCAATGTTATTACCCCCCGCAGTGGCGCCGTCAACAGCTCCTCCATTTCTACCAGAACCGCCGGCGACCGAACCACTTGAAGGCGCCTTACACGCAGCTCGCCTTGTCCTCAAATTCCACGACATATAAATCCCTCCTGCCGCGGGCGATGGCGGAGGGGGTGGCGGTGGCCGAGATGGAGAAACGAAAATTTCGTCTTCCTGAAGACCTTCCTTGAAAATCTGGTCTTTCATCTTATCCGCCACCGCCATAAGATCGGACATCACCTTCTCTCTTACCGCCGCAATCCCATCATCATCGCCGTCTCCAAATCTCCGGCCACCACCGAAACTATTCACCGCTCTCGTTGGACCCATTTTGTGGGATCCATCACTGTCCCTCTGGTTCTCTCTGGTTGTACGCCGCTGTTGGTGCTTATAATCAGAAGAATCAGAATCATTCCCATGGAAGCGGCTGAGGGTTGAAATTTGGCCATTTGAGTTGACCTTCATGCAACGGAGGTATCGCTGGTTTCCCCACCGGAGGCCACAAGGCATCGTGAAATTGTGCAAAGCCTTTGATCTTTCTGTCCCCATAACCATATCTCGATCATTCACACACACATTTTACACAAACAAGAACTCCAAAAGAAAGAAAAGGGCTACGGTTTGCTGTTTGTGTTTCTCTTCTTTGATTTGGATACTATGGGAAAATCGCCGCGAAGGTGAGTTTAGATTATATAGGGGATGGGGTGGGTGGGTCGTGTAGGGTTGGGTTGGCGAAATGAGGTTTCGGACTCCTTTTCTGGTCTTGTTTAACGTTCGGATTTATTTCGTGTCATTGAGTGCTAAGATGCGCCATGTGATGGGCGCCACTTGTAGCAAAGTGCGCCTCTTTGTTATATGAGTTGTACGAAAGATATTACTCGATTTTATAAACAGTGCTTTTTTTTTTTTTTTGAAGAAATAAACGGTGCTTGTTACATCTTGATTTTTTGTTCTTTATTTTCTTATTTTTATGTGTTGTGACAGACCAGTGATTGAAATGTGGGGGAAAGAGACTCATAATTTTAATATGAGAAATCGCAGAATTTTAATAATTATTACTATAATACTTAAATATGTACGAGTGTGTTTAATTAATATTATTAAGGAAATATTGTGCCCCTGTTTGGTCTGGATTAAATTCTGATTTTTAATTCAAGTCAAAGTCAAACAATCAATATTAACCACATCTTTCATGAGTCTCACAACTTTTTAAGCGCACATTTCAAAAAAATTTATCACAATTTATTAAAAATCTAATTTTAGGGGGTGTTTGTTTGAGATTTTTGGGGGAAGAATTGATTTTTGAGTAGTGATATGATAGGAAATGTGTGATTGAAAAAGAAGAAAAAATTATTGATGTGATGGAAAATATTATTTTATTGAAGAATGTGTGGCTGAAAATGAGAATTGATTTACTTTAGAAAAATTTAATCATTCCCAATCAGGGCCTATGTGACAGACCAGTGATTGAAATGTAGGGGAAAGCGACTCATAATTTTAATATGAGAAATCGCAGAATTTTAATAATTATTACTATAATACTTAAACATGTATGAGTGTGTTTGATGAATATTATTAAGAAAATATTGTGTCTGTGTTTGGTCTGGATTAAATTCTGATTTTAATTCAAATCAAAGTCAAACAATCAATATTAACCATATCTTTTATGAGTCTCACAACTTTTCAAGCGCACATTTCAAAAAATTTTATCACAATTTACTAAAAATCTAATTTTAGGAGGTGTTTGTTTGGGATTTTTGGGGGAATAATTGATTTTTGAGTAGTGATATGATGAGAAATGTGTGATTGAAAAAGAAGAAAAAATTATTGAAGTGATGGAAAATGTTATTTTATTGAAAAATGTGTAGTTGAAAATGAGAATTGATTTACTGTAGAACTTGAGAATCTCAAACAAACAAGCTCTTAATCTCCACCAAACACCATCTGTATTTTAAATAGTGACGTGATAAAAAATATGTGATTAAAAAGTAAAGAAAAATTATTGATACGATAGAAAATATTATTTTATTGAAAAATGTGTGGTTAAAAATGAGGTTTGAAAGAGTATATTTTTAGAGAATGTGTGTCAAAAATAGGCATAATGTAAACTTGTTGGAGTATAAAATGAAAACAAGTGTTTTAAGGTTTGAAAAAATAAGGACACACATGATTCAGAATGAATCGTTCTCGAACTGCTTTCAAACAAAATCATTTCAAACGATTTGGATAAATTTCAAAAGAATCCATTTTTCAGAATTTGTTTTGGTTTTAAAGCAAGGTTTTAGCAACATAAAAATAATATATTTCAAACATATCAATATAATATTTAAATTGTAACATTATAAACACGAATATTCCAATACTATAGCAAGTAAATTTTTTAAAGTACAAATAAATACCTTGCATAAAATAAGTGTTTTGTTATTAAATTTGATGAACGAAATTTTCGATTTTTAACTATTGAAACCTAAATTAAATCATTTCCAAACGATTTGGTTAGTCGAATCAGATGAGTTCATGTGAATTCAAATAAACGGTATCAAAATCGCAGTTCTAGTTTGTTTGAAGAGTTGACTATTTTTATGTTCACATTGGATAATTTGGGGCCGGAGAGTGCGGATTTTTCATAAAAAGTAAAAAGTTTTTGATGAAAAGAGCATATAGGAACCCCTATAAACTCCTTTGCAAGACCACGAGGTGCACGACTTCTTCAAGAGGAAATTTGGTTTTGTTCGCAAAATGAGAGAGAGAAAACAAGTTTATTTAGTCCATGTTTGAACCCCATTTTTTTGCGAAAAACGAATTTTGTCAGAATTATTTTTTGGAGAATATATGATTAAAAAATTGAAAAAAAAATCGATTTATGCGCAAAATTATAATTATTTTGAGAGAATCTGTGATAGAAAATGAATTTGAGAAAAATGAGGGCATGTTCTCTTTACCATTTTCAAGCTTTTTTTGTTTTCGATTTTTTAAAATAGTGAAAACACGTTTCCTTTTCTATCTTCGAAAACACGTTTTTGAAAATAAGTTAAAAATTTATAAATAAAACTCAAAACGACATATTTTCAATGATAATCAAGCCAGAATTTTCAAAACGAGTTTTTCGTATTTTCAAAATGTCAAAAAGAACACATTTTCAAGAATTTCAAAATGGACACTTAAAACACAAAATTCAAAATGAATTCAAAACTCAAAACACAAAATTGAAACATAAAAAAAACAACCCCTTGAGTTTTTAGATAACGAAACTCAAAGAGTGGCTTAATTTAGTGTTCACAAATACTTGTGTATTAAAACTTTTGAATTTCCATTTGTTTAATTGAGAACCTGATGTACGTGTTTTTCAAGCTAAGGAAATAATTCAAATGAATTTTAACTACTATGTTTTTGTTATGTCAAAATAAATCAATAATTATTTTTGTCTTTCTCGACCTCATCTAGTTCATTACAGTAGCAAAAACCCATTATCATTTTCATGAGTAGTGGCGGATCCAGCACCAAAAGAAAGGGCGTAGTCACACGTGCTGGATCCATCGAAGTCGTTGCAGAAAACTTGAAGGCGTCTTCACATTCACGTAGGCATAGAGGACGAAGGTCAAGAGGTTGAAAATGAAAGCAATTGGATTGAACTTTTTTTTAATTGTGGGCTTTTTTAGAACTGGATCTCTAGTTTTATTTTTTAAAAAAACGCTCAATCGAATATCTAATATGTGATCAGTTTGTATTGAATCAGAAATCGCTCCCCAAATTTTAATTGCAATTCCAGACGAAACCGATTGTGCAAACCCTATCTCTATGCTCAGTACATGGGGGCCGCTTGCAAGATAGCTGAATCGAGTGAATAACATAGCATTTCCGATGACACTAGTGACACTTTCTTAGTACATGTTGCGAGTTGCAGCGTTGATGATGTTGGGACATTTCAGGGAACTTGAACTATCATGCGCCTCAATTGCTACTTCATTTACAAATGTTACTAGATTTAGTGTCGTTGTAAGATCCTTTTTCTTCTCTCAACTTTTGATTCTAGCGATGATTGCTACAAGTCATACGTTTGAATAGTTTTGTGATTTGAAATAAAATTTTGAGAATAGATTCGAATCCATTAGCAGCAATTATGTTTTTCAGGTATATTGTGAGTTTTCAATCTCGAAATTTGGTGCTTAGGGATATCGCAAGCTTCATTTTTACTTTATAGGGAATGTTAGTCTACTAACTAAGTTACATTGATTTATGGCTTTTAGTTTCTATTCTTCAATATTTTTTTGTGTTCACAATTTGACAAGAACACTTTGCTTTCCATGTAACCTATTAAACATTTCCAACAAAATCATCAGTCTACATGTAGATTTCTTTAGAAACCAGAGATAAATCTAACTAGAATCTCTGTTTTCCTGCCACCATTATACTAGATTATGGAACGATTTTTTCAACTGAAACGAAAGTCACAAACTAGTTTTTTTAGTGTTACATCTAGTCCTATCTAGTCGAGCACATGAGTTGTTAAAAAACACAAAGTATTTTTATATGTGTATAATTTTTACATTTTAGTCAACTGCCAAAGACCGCCATAACTGACTTAAACTCCTGAATCCACCACTGGTCATGAGTTGAACCGACTACTCCTATCATATAAGGTACAAGGTTTTATTTAGTAGTATTACATACATATCGTTAGAATTAACTTTTTATGACCTAATATAATTGATTCTTGGATTATCAAGAATCCACCGGTTTTAATATACCATCGATATTTATGATCATACTATTCATATTATCTTTTCTTTTTTGTACAATATAGTTGTAATTGTCATATAAATCGGACAATTTTTATTGTAATAACACAAACATATTCTTACAATTTTCTATTATTTGTTAGTGTTTTTTCTTGGGAGCCGTCTCTCTTTCTTGTAAAAGTTAGAGCTCGAGCTTCAAAATTCATGTGGTTACCATTGGCCCTTGTGGTTGTTGGCTACTCCGACATCATCGTTAGACAAATTTATCTATAACTATGATTTTTTATTTTCTTTTATGTGATATTCAATTTCTCATCTTTCTATTGTGTGGCTATACATAAACTATATGTCCAATTAGAAATCCAACGCAATGAAACTTCAAAGCAATGAACGTTGAATGCATCACGTGCAACCTCCGTGCACCCGCTCCACTTATAATAACAGTTATCATGAATGGATATCACATCTTAATAATGAATGGAAAAAAAAAAATTTTGAAATTAACTCTCCCTTCTCTTTTCTGACAAACAATCATTCACTGAACAAATACTATCTCTCATAGTCATTTGTATTTCTTTTTTTAGAAATAAAATTGTTCTAAAGGATATAGATTTCCATACTCTATTCTTAGAGTGTTTGGTCGTTTTCGCAAACTTATGTCTCGATTTCATCTGTTGTTTTAGTATTATCTAAAACTTAAAATTCTCTTCTTAGACAAGTGTTATCTAAATCGCATCATTTATTTCTAGAGGTATATTAGAGCTCTGTCAAATATTATAAAAATTAAAAAAAGACACAAATAGATCATGTCTTGTC